CCAGATGGAGTCGTCGATGATGAGCCAGATGGAGCAGTCGAAGACTTGGTAGTGGATGATGCAGATGGAGTAGTCGATGACTTAGTGGTGGATGATGATCCAGATGGAGTCGTCGATGGTGATCCAGATGGAGTCGTCGATGATGATCCAGATGGAGTCGTCGATGATGATGCAGATGGAGTCGTCGATGATGATCCAGATGGAGTCGTCGATGATGATCCAGATGGAGCAGTCGATGGCTTAGTGGTGGATGATGAGCCAGATGGAGTGGTGGATGGGGTGGTGGAAGATGAGCCAGATGGAGCAGTCGATGACTTGGTAGTGGATGATCCAGATGGAGTAGTCGATGGCTTAGTGGTGGATGATGATCCAGATGGAGTCGTCGATGATGATCCAGATGGAGCAGTCGATGGCTTAGTGGTAGAAGACACAGTGGTGGAGCTTCCACAATTGTTGCCGCTCCAGCATAATTCGGGTAAGTCAAACTGACCGCCAGTACCACAACCGAAGGAGTAGTCAAAAGAGTTCTTACCGTCAGCAAAAGTCATACTGAATCTGCATACCGTCCTTCATACATTGTTGACCAGCTGTAGAACCTTGTCTCGAAGTAAACGTGAACTGTGCAGTCCATGAACAACCATTGATTGATTTACCGCCATTCGAAGGGTTGTTGTAAGAGTAGACAACAACAGTCGCAGCACCACCATCAATCTTGATTTCATTGGTGTTGTCGAATTCAGAACAGTCTTCACCTTGGAAAATCATAGTACCTTCGTAGACACCATTACCCAAGTCCTTAACAGTTGGCCCGAAAGACACAGATGCCGATGGGTAACCATGGTCATATGGAGTCAAAGCACATGTGGTCACTTGCGTGGCAGAGCATGTGGTAGACGATGAGCCAGATGGAGTAGTCGATGACTTAGTGGTGGATGAACCAGATGGAGTGGTGGATGGAGTGGTGGATGATGATCCAGATGGAGCAGTCGATGGCTTAGTGGTGGATGATGATCCAGATGGAGTCGTCGATGATGAGCCAGATGGAGCAGTCGATGACTTGGTAGTGGATGATCCAGATGAAGTAGTCGATGGCTTAGTGGTGGATGATGATCCAGATGGAGTCGTCGATGATGAGCCAGATGGAGCAGTCGATGGCTTAGTGGTGGATGATGATCCAGATGGAGTGGTGGATGGGGTGGTAGAAGATGAGCCAGATGGAGCAGTCGATGACTTGGTAGTGGATGATCCAGATGGAGTAGTCGATGGCT